GGGGGGGGGGTGACAGATGATGTAGATTTTCCTCCCATGTACCTCCCCTCTTTTTCTCCAGACATTCTGAAACAAGACCTGTGCAAAGTTCACCTGGTTGCTTTACATCATGGGCCCTTTCTTACCCAATGAAAAGTCTTTCTCAAGGGAATTTGTCAAACTAACCCAACCAAATTAATATTTATAATTATTTAAGTAAAACTTTGACCACTCTATGTATTTAATATGTGTTAGAGACTCTTTAGTCTGAGGTCTACAGCATCACGTGTGTGTCCCGCAGCACTCATCGTCGAGATAGATACTTGTTTTATGTACCTGCCAGGAAAAGCGATATTCCAGATAACGCTGAACTACGCCCACCCGACTTTTCTTTTCCAACACCCATATATTTCTTCAGCTTTTGGCCTCTGCTGTCGCCAAGGTAATTTAGTCATAGAAAAACTGTAGAATCAGCAAAATCGTTCCACTTGGAGGTAGAGTTGGAAGTGTTGAAAGGCCCCGCCTGCAACTCTCCAACTATCAAAATACTGCAAATCCCTTCCCTTACCTCACCCCCACCTCATCACTTTCTTACTGTTCATCAGTGCTGAACTAAATTACTCCACACTTAGTGTTACGCTGGTTCGAGCTGTCTTTGTTACTCATTTCAGTACGGTAAAAATGAATATTGAATATACTATATCGAATATACTATATATCTATATACTTAGATATGTCATTACTTACATTTTCTTTTACTGATTTGACTGCAATTTCTACGACTGTAGTACTGCTTTGTAGTACTGTGTAATTCAGCACTCCAGTATTGTTTATATATTCAGGTTTCCTTGTTTAGACTGCTATGTAATGGCAGGGTGACCAAACATTTCAGGATTTGGAATCAAAAACCACACAAGTCGCCCTACCTAACAGACAACCTCGAAAATATTTTGTAATTGGGATCAGTTTAAAAGATGTATACATTATATATCTATACATAGTGGGTTTTTCCTAATACTTGCAGCCATCCATGTGGTATATGCTAATATACTGTGGATCTCTGCACAAACTCGCCCAGGCTTCATGAGTCATCAACATGCATATACACACAAAAAACACATACACTCACACACAGAGTGCAGTGAGTGCACAGCTCGGACATGAATCTCCCTCCATGGGCTGGAGGAGTTGGGTTACTCATGAGCCCATAAACATGTGCTGGCGGCGACCAAGGCACTGAACTGTAATTACAAACGTAAGAAACAATATATAAAGACCCTTCCCCGGCAAGGCCGTGTCCTGTGCTGCAATTGTACAGAATTATCACCCTTCAGCAGCCGCAGTCGCCGCCACACTGAATGGGGGCCTTTTATTTGGCAGTGTCCTCCTTGGTCTGCTAGAGGACAGCCCTCACGTCTTTCTTTATCTCTGTCGCCCTTTTTATTTTTCCGCAACCTGAGATTTGACTAATGAAGACTAACTACCTCTGTTTTCCTTTGTACCATATTACCTCCACACAGATGGTCCTGGCATCACACGCCTACGTATGCACAAGATAACACAGGCACATGTCAGAAGCCGCCTCGTACAGTAACGCCACGCAGTCTTTACAGTACATGCCCTCATGTGTGAACATGAACATACTGTGCCGCATCTTTAGAAAATCACTTTTTATGCTTGCATATGCGCCACTTCACCCACACACATGACAGTGTAGGCTTTCAGTAATACAGCATGCCAAAGTGTGAGCATGTATGCAGCGAGTGGGTGCTACTGGGCAAGGCCAAGGCCACGGCGGAGCTTGTGTGTTGGTGTTGGGTGAGCATGCGGCAGTGAGAGTTGGCCGCTGTACAGGCCAGCAGAGAGGGTGCGGCGTGTTACATGTTCCACTAATGAGTTTCCTTGGCCAGGCAAGACCGTGGGGCGAGCTTATTAGTAAACAGGCTACAGAGAGGAGCCCCTACAGCCCTCTGTTACTGCTGCTGCTGTTGGCTCTCCAACTGATCACTCTCTCTGTTTCTGCTTCTCTCTATTGTTTTTTTTCTTCCTTTCTCTATCCCTCTCTACCTCTTGTAGGCAGTAAGACTGGTTTTGAATTCAGCCACAGGCACAAACAATTCGGTCAACAAGTGAAATCATGGACAGACAGACTGGCGATCTCAGCAGCATTGTAAGTACCATAATGTATTGTAAATTTAATATGTTGTTATTTAATGATGTATTGTAATGCGGTTGTATTGTCTTGCATTTCATTTAATGAGATAAAGTCTGTAATAAGATGCTGCGTACGTTTCATTTGTTATATGCATGGCATGTAACTTGCTCTGGCTACATCTATTTTTTTTTTCTCTTTGTGAGACTTATAATGTGAGCCTGCATTAGATTAAATCATAATGGCTGTATAGTGTGCCTTTATCCCATTTAAAAGGCCAAGTGGTCCCAATGGCTTGTTAGTGCAGTAGATAAAAAAAACAAAAACAAACATAATCTTTAGTGCACACTCGGGGTGTACCCTTAATTGTCCACTAGGCATAGAAAGTCTTGACTCTCTCTGTATCGGGGCCTGGGTCTGTTAGAAAATGGCTTCCACTTTCTGCCTTCCAGCTCTCAGCTCTCTGCCGCCATTTTGTGTATCGCTGCCAAAGTAGTCAGGTAGCAGGATAAGAGGGACAAAGTAAAGTGGGGGAGAAAAAGTGGGTGCAACTGGATGCTGGGTTAAGAAGCAAATTAAAATAAACAGACAGGAACTGGAGAAAAGAGGTGCTCCAGTGTGCAATGATAGAATACTTAATATGCCTTTTTTGATATGTCATTTTCATTTGTTGCCGAGTGCATACAAACAAGCAGCCTCCCCTCTGGACCCTTCCCAGCTCTTCTTCTCAAAGGGCTGACCTTGGGTGGACGCCATAAACGGTTCTTTTCCTTTTGGGCAAATGTGCTGGCAGGGCCCACAGCTTCATGACCCCCTTCCACCCTCCATCAGTCCTCCCTCTCTCCTCCACCCCACCCATAGCAACTGCTCTAGAGCCAGCGTGCATGGGTAAAGCTTTAACCTCTGCTCATGTACCTGTCTCCACCCTAACCACAGCGCACTGTTAGCTGTAGCTTTAAACCCCACTGTGCCTGTATCATATGCACTTAGTAACCCTCCCATACAACCTCTAGCTACAGTAGCTAGCTGCGTGGGGCTCTGGAATTCTGCATGTGCCAGGCATTTGATTACATGTGCAGATGTTATTAAAATCCTCCTCTTCATCTGACCCCAAGACCACAGATAATATATCAAGCTTCCAGTAGGTGGCTGCTGCTGCTTTTCTTTTAAAAAGAAGAATCATCCCATTGCTAAACTTCACACAAAGTCACACACAATCCTCCAGTATTTTAGCATACACTATCATTACATGATATGTAATAGTGAAAAGAGTGAAAACTGACATCTCAGGAAATGTATTTGTCATTTGTGTTCTTTGTCATTTGATCCCCATTTGAGTTTCATAATAATGAAATAATTTACTCACTATAAACTATGATAATGAGTGTATATCTGGCTATATCTGTATCTGCTTGAGGGAGATGCTGTAAAAATGTACTGTCAGTGTGTATCTTTGCTGGCATGTAACTGATTTAGACTCTAGGTGCAAATTATAGCAGAGGTCCCTCCAGCAGTAAGACCTGGCCTATTTAGGCCTGTCACAGACAAGCTGTCATTGAGACAGATGGATAGTCAATGGCTTTGCTAACAGTTAAGAATGCACTCTGTCCCCTTTGGCTCCCCACTCCTTAATCTGGCCATGTGTTTGCATATGGGACAGAGTGGCCTCCATATTGTGTTTGTGGAATGAATTATGAATGCTATTGCATAACCATGGCCTGTTTCTAGGGCATATCTCTACAGCATCTACCCAGAGACCAAAGCATGAATACATTTACCCGGCCTAGACCTCTTGGAAATGATACTGTGAAGCTGGCCTGCCTGCGTTTGTTTACGGTTATATATAGCAGATGGCTATGCAACATGGTCACATATCACACACTGGCTGCCTCGCTGGCAATGCCACACACACAAATGCTTATAGGCAGAAATGTAGGACTATTTGAAGGGGATTTAAATCCACAGAAATTCATTCATTATTATAACTCACAGAGGGAAAAGTACTAAATCTCTATATATCGAAATACATTACCGTATATTCTCCCTCATGTTGGCAGCAGTCCTGGAACTATAGGCACTGGCTCTAATAACTGCTGCCAAATCCAGCTTTTCAATGCTAACTGTGGTCAACTGTGCTGTATTTACAGCCTTAGCTTTCTGCTGTAACTGCTAACCACTGTAGTGAGTGTGACTACAGTCAGCTGTAGCCTGGGGCTAACAAGCTCTTCAAGGTTACAAACTGTGCAGATTCCTGTCTGCCTACTCTGGCCTTCTGTCTGTCAGCTGAAGTTCATATCCAGGGAGAAAGGTATTTGTCCCACCCTCTAAATATAGCTGGCGACAGATGTAGCTCGATGGGGCACTGCCCAAGCTGAAAGGGGCCCTGCAGGCAGGCCAGAGCAGAACTGGGCATGAAGACGTGTCAGGACTATAGACTTCTCCTAATAGACAGGGGCCCTACAGGTTATGAGCAGCCACATGGCAATGCACGTTTCACCAGCTTCCATTAGCATGGTGGCACAAGGACTGAGCCTGTGAATCTTTACATGAGCAAAAAATACACAATATTTGATGTATTTCTATGACATATACATAGTGCATTGTGGGGAAAATATCACATTACAATGAGACAGAAAACTGCTGAAAACATCATCTAATGGACTTGTTGAATGTGACTTCTAATTCGCCATATCCAGTTTATCAAAGCCTTATATAATGCTATTAACCATGTAAGCCTAAAGTCATGTTGGTCATTTTTAAACTTCCTATGATTCATGTGGATTAACAGATTATAAAGCATCAGTGTTTCTTTTCTTTACAGCCTGATATAGGCTACCATATGGATTAATTAGCACAATCAAACCTACTAAAATGCATTATGTTTAGGTGTCCGGATATGCAGTTGTAATAGATATCCACCAACCCTTTGTAAACAAGTTGTTTCCGTGTAGACCTTTCTATAGTCCTGCGCCCTGCTGTGCATCCTGTAGCCTTACCATGTATGTGTGCATGCAAGTGTGTATATGTTTCTCTATGTACATGTGACTGTATAATGTGTGTGAGAGATGAGAAGCAGCTGGTAAGGTTGGGCTGAGTGGTCTGGGCAACCCATGCTGCGCGCCCTGTCATTACAATGATTGGGGTCGTTTTTTACCTCTAAAGATGGGGCCGGGGGGCCACACTGGGATCAGCTAACTCTGCCTAATCCAGCCCTCTTCACCTGGCATGTTTATGGCTCTGCTGGGGGATGGGAGTTGGGATTGGGGGGGGGGTCACTGGGGCCGGTTCATCTCACAGTCTGACAGGCAGACACACATATTATGCACATAGGCGTGAGTACATACAGACCCCACACACGTATGCATACATTGATCCACACACACATACACAAGTGCATTAATGCACAGCCATAGGCTTATAACGTATTAAAAGGCCTTCATATACACCTATAAACTCCCTCTTCTTTCACTCTCCTCACACACACTCACACAAGGTTTGCAAGCTCAATATCTGCCTCATGCAGAGGTGACGGGGAGGTCAGCCCGTCTGACTTTGAGCAGAATCCCCCTGTGGCTTGCCCCAGCCATCCCCCCTGGCATGTGTAACAGGACCTGCCCATGCAGCCTCTCCTCTTCCCTTGCTCCTGTCCTCCCCCTCCTCCTGCCTCCCCCCTGGCCCTGGTATAAATAGATGGGTCATGCCTGCTGTGCTACCCAAAGGGGCTGCGGGGGGGCACAGAAGCCATGCTTCCCTTTATAAATGCTCCACCGTGTCTATCTGGATTCCTTCTGTCTGTGCCCAGACACCACTTCACTTGTAGCAGGGCACACATGTAGATGTATACAGACAGGAGGAAAATACATGCACGCAAGCATCTAGGTATTCCTGACCACATCCGTGATATAAGGGAAGCCACACATGTATAAACACAAGGACTAATGAGTACATATAGTGTGCATAAACATACTTGCAACCTAACCATAAGTACTAAATATAATCTTGATGCCACAAGGGATCAACAAAGGCTAGGCTGAAGAGAAGGGTAAATCTGAGAGTCTGAAGTGCTGAAACTCACCAAGTTGCCTAAATAAAGATGACCAGTGAGCCACAGTGAAGCAGCAACTTTTCTACAGTGAATCCTACATTTGAATTGTTCCATATTGGTGCCAATATAAAACCTAGGTCTTGGTACCGATTGCTTACAGTACCGTCAGGAATATAAAGGTATGTTTCTACAAAACCCTTAAACGAAAGTTAAAAAAGTGGCTTGACAATAGGTCTGTGTTTGACAAGAATCAGGCGATATGATACATATCACAATATAGGGGTTATGATTATATTGTGATACTGTAAGCAAGATAATATATTGCCATTTTTTGTCTAATTGCAAAACTGTCATAGTATAAAATGAGTTTGGAACATCAAAGTCCCCAGTTTACAAAAAACATAACGTTTCTTATTTTCAGGTGATTATACTCTAATGAAAACATAGTTTCATATTATTTCCCATTTCTGACAATAGATCAGCTGTTACACATCGGACCTGTAATTGTAATGTTTTTAATTATAGCGTGGCGTGTGAGAATACATTTATAGAAAATTATAAGGGTTAGGGATGCATATTATGTAAATGTCCATCTTCTTTTTCTGAATTACCCACCACACTGAGTGACCACAGACCACCAGAACCCCAAAGATCTGGTTACAAGGTCACAGCACTCCACTCCATCTTACTATCACTGCAGTGAAACTTGGCTTCAGTATTGATTGATAGGCACTGTAGCACTTAGACTGAAGTGTGATTGAATTAAAGTGGCTTTTTAAGCAGTGTGTGCCTTTTGCTGTGAACGCTGTGTGAAAATGTAATGAGGTAAATGAATATTGTGTTTTGCCTTTTCCCTCTATTATTTCTCCCTCTAGTATTTTTTGTTCATGTTTGTGTGTGAATGTGCACATGTGCATGTATTCCAAACTATGTCCTTGTACGCGTCTGTGTATCTGGTTATGCGTTGTCCCAAAGGGTATATGTTTGTGTGACAATATGAGACGATGAGGTGTAGAAAGTAGGACTTTGCACTCCACCAGCTAATGGAGGTGCTGAAAGCTGAAGCAGTGTATCAGTTAGACGCTGTGCTTTCAAGTGAAGGAGCGCTTGCTGAGCTTGCACAATTTTAAGAAGGCTAGATTTTCAGGTGGGCAAGCTGTTAGTAAATGAGGTGTTTTTAGATTGTATTGTATAACTGTGTTAAGAGTCATAAAAAAGTGTGTGTGTGTGTGTGTGCGTGCGTGCGTGCGCGTGCGTGCATGCTTGCATTGCATATCGTTCCTCTGCAGTATATGTGTGTGGGTGTGAGTGTGAATATTTCCCTGTCACTGGATGATAGCACCTGGCTTCACTTGAAAGCAATAGCTTTCCTGGACATGCACTCTGTTGGTCAGGACCCCAGAGCCATCTACTATATTAGATTGAAGTATGTCCAGTCAGCAGACTGAGAGGACAGTGTGCCTTGACCTTACCTTATGAAGTCTGGACCCCACACCGCTCAGTATTTTGCAGGGCTGCACAATGAGAATAGACTGTGATATGAATGGCGAAATGCTCTATGCAGGGCAGACAGTTTATATGTCGTTACTGTTTAGGCCCCCTTAAAATCAAGACTTAATGCTAAATTAAATTAAATTAATACTAAAGCTTAAACATTGCTTAGTTTGTATATATTCATAACAACTTTTTATTTAAGAGTAAATTAAGTCTCTGTATGGTATCCTTTCTTTGTGGTGCTGTTTGTCCATTTCTTTGTAATTACTGTATGTGTGTGCTATACTGCACTTTTCCTTCTGTCTGCTTATCTCTGTGTGTGCTCCTCGTGTGTGTTTGTTATCCTGTAGGGGTGTGTGCTTGCATACTTCCAATCTACTCATCCACTGCTATGGTGTACTGTAAGTACGGCAGTGTTGAATAATGTAAAGAGCCTCAGACTTAACCACTGAGCAGACACAATGGGGCCTCGCAGCTCAAGAAACACCATTCTGTATTGTGCTGTGCTGTACATTTGTGCCTTTACAGACAACAATATTACTGTAGAGGTACATGCTGACAAAGATTACACTGATATGACTTTGTTTCAGCAGATTGTGTGACAGTTAAACATGCAGGATGGTGTGCTTTTCTTTCAGAACACAAAGTATGAGCCATACAGAATTTCTAACAAGCTTACTGTAAATACACATACGCAAATTGCAAGCAAACCCAGACTCCATGTTTTCGCCCGAGAATCAAAAACCCTCTTGTAAAAACTGTCAGCCACTGTGGTGTTTGCGATTGATCTCACGAGAGTCAAATCTAAAAAGCATTGTGTCGAGGTATGTTCTCTGTTTCCTTTGTTGCAGAAGGCTACCTGACATGCTGCTGAAACCACAATGGAAGGAGGAGGCGATATGCCAGTGTTTCCCCCACTTCACTGCGTGTTACAGAGCAGGTGAGAAACATTAACAGCAGCAGCTGCAGCCCTCTGCTTCGCACATGTGGGCCAGGATATGAGCTAGCTTGAGCTCGCCCACTGTCAACACTAGACACTAATGTTAACACTCTCCTCTCTGAAGCAGTAGTGAGAAAAAAGGGAAAAATGGAATCAGTACAGATAAGGGCTGTACTATATATTGTTTCAGCATCGATATTGCGATGTGCACTAGTCACACTGCAGGACAGGCTATGTCGAGTACAGTAAATTAACTCAAAGACTTTTTAACTTTTGTGCTGCTTGATACAAAAGGAAAACTCACTAGGTCTCATTTTCCATGACTAATCTACAAAAAAGCCCATCTGATATTACATAATTTAGTCCAATTTAATGGTTGTCGGATACAGAGAGATTGATCAGTTCTCTTGATTGTATTTGGTTGCTTGATAAACTAATCAAGTGCACCCTTTCGCCAGAGCACATTGGGAACTGATCGCTGTGCATGCAGAGTCTGCATATCACCTGCCTGTAAACAGGTACGCAAAGTAGCTGCTGTCACAGATAATGTCACCTGGATGCTAGAGGAGCAGTTTAGTTATGCAAGGCAGCTTTTGAGAGCGTGTATTTCCATTATCAGTGGTACCTTGTTCCAGCGCGGGGTAAAAGTTAAAAAGTTACTGCCAAGGAGCCGGTCCGTACCCTAAACACATCATTGTAAATGTTAGATTACATGTAAAAACTGCCACACAGAAGTTAATTTGTATTGTCTATTAAGAAACGTGTTGTTTTTTCCCAGATATCTCTCCACCTGTTCTCTCTCCACTTGTCCATGCCAGGCCAGTGTCAGAGTCGCGTACCATTCACCGAAAGTGAAGCTGATTTCTGGAGGGGTGGCAGAGGGCTGACCCAAGTGTGGTATAAGTAAGAGGGTGCTTTTAGTTTTGTTAGAGGAGTATAGATTTTTAAAGTGCTCCAATTATGAAAATTATGATTATCATTCTGTACATGAATAACAAACTGCAATACATCCGGTGAAATTTCCTGTATTTTTTCATATCGCAATATATACTGCAGAAAAAAACACAATATCGTAATTTTGCAGCACTAGTAAAGATTCTTTTGTAATGTTTATTTTTTGCAATTTATTGTATGTAAACAGAAATGCTATGTGGTAGTGGCAGTGGTTCCCAGTCTTCTTGACTTGTACCTCTTTAAAACAAAGTCATTTCTACACACAATCCCATGTCACAGGTTGCAAATAACTTGCAAGCAGTTCTACCACAGAGGGTTTTTCACATATTGTTTGATACTAGTATCGCCATATATTGGCAATACTCTCACGTCTCCTGCTACTATCTAGCATCACAACAACAGCATGTTTTGGAAAACTAGAACGTAAGCCGAATGTCCATGAGCAAGTAATGTAACATTACATGACACAAAAAATCCCAGAATAGCTTGAATAACAAGTTAATGTTGTGTGGCTCGGTCCACTCTGTTTGTTTCCCATTTAAAAAGCAAGGGCGGTGTACAATCATCAGCTTTTTTTATTTTTAGCGCACACACAGAGTGAAAAGCTAGCAAACCATCAGGAGTTATTTTCTGAATTTGAACAAAAAGTTTATTGGATTAGAATCACATTACCTAGACTCCGCACTCCACCTTTAATGAACAGAATGTTGCATTTTAATAGCTTATCCTTTAATGTCACAGTACCCTTTAAGTTATTTACAGGATTATTTTCCAAGTTATTTTGAATATGGAAATGTCTTGTCTATACAATTTGCTTGGGGGTAATGCACCTTGTGGGATCATTTGAATTTCTAGCCATGAACCCAGTGACCCAGTCGTCACCTTGTGTTCTGAACACACAGTCCTGTCACACTGGTGAGGTGTCCCAGAGGAGAGTGGCATGTGTATTTGTGTTTCTGTGAATCATAAACGCTGTTTTGTATTCATTGAGGTGTGTCAAAGCGGATTACCTGCATGAATGGGGACCTGAAACGACTTTGTTTTCAAAGACTGTCCTTTGGGGTGAGGTAGTAGGTTGTATAGTTTTAGGGTCATACCCTTCCTGTCAGATAACTATACAACTTACTGTCTTTCCTGAAGTGGCTGTAATGTCATCAGATGTCATTGTTGAAGCTTTTGGATCTGGATCAACACTGGAATGTGCACGTTTACCCGCTAAGATAACATAACTCATTTGCAGCATTTGATCGAGGTAGGTCTTTGTAGTTGCTTTGGGTAGTTTTCCATCTCGTGATTTTAATGGTTGCACTTTAAGACTTTGTGGTCAATAAAACCTATTCTTAAATATTATACAATATATTGTCTTCATATCTCATCAGACACTGTATATTGTATAACCTTTTACACAAACCTGCTCTCATTTAATTGTCTTTCCTTAGCTCTTATTTCTGTTTTTGTTTTTTTATATATGATAATAACAGTAGTTTAGGATTTTTGTCAGAGCTCCATGGCTTCCAAGTCCAATCGACTTCAATTATATGAAGTGTGAACGTCTTCAAAATCTAAAAAGGTTTGAGGATGTATTTATTACGTATAAGACAATGGACAGTGTATATACATCACTCCACCATAATAGATCTTCAGTACATGTTACACCAAAGCTTGCCAACATGTAGGACCTTTCTGATGTTCGAACGGGGTGAGGTAGTAGGTTGTGTGGTTTCAGGGTAGTGATTTTGCCCAATCAGGAGATAACTATACAACCTACTGCCTTCCCTGGAGGGCAGCAATACTTCACCATAGAGACAACAGGGACCATCTTGCTCACAGAAAAACTTCCAGAATCAATGAACCCAACCAGGTCAACTATCTGGCCCTGAGCCACCGGTCCGCTTCTTACCTGGAACGTGGGCGTCCACAGTTAATCGTGGCAGCAGAGAGGACCAGCAGGTAAAGTCTGTTCGGTATGGAATTTGTCTTGGAGTTTTTTTCTTCTGCTTCAAACATAAATAAAAAAATAAGATGATGAATCAGTTTGTCTTTGGAATTTGTTCATTTTCTTTGATTTATACTATACTGATTTAAATGTTTCACACTTTGCGTTTATTTGAAGTTGAACAGCTGCGTTGGTGCCAAATGGTTTACATACAGTATACTGCAGTAGTGCTCGCTCTGTTTATATAAAACTTAACATCAGCTACAAAAACAGAAGTTTATCCCATCCACTACCCTGCATCGAACATAACCAAAGATTTTCATCATTGTCTGCTGAAGAAATATCTCTGAAAAACCCTGACATGGCTACCTTCATCCTTTCCTGGGATCAGCCAGCAGCCCAGACACGTCCTAAAACCCCAGAGCAGAGCAGATGGAAAGAAGAACCATGGCACAAGCTCACCTCCTGGGCTACAGCATGATTCATATGGCAGCAGATGATGGTTACAGTACTCTGTGTTTCTCCGGCCAACAGCACACATGGACACACACACACACACACACAGATAGATGACGAGGTGAGTGCCAGGAGGTATCAGGCCAACTTGGGGCATTAGACATCCCTCACTGTCTGAGACGGCCACCCTGTATCTCATAACAAGGTCAGACTTGGGGTTTTCATTAACAGCCCTCACATAACCAATGATAAACTTTGTCTTTGTAACTCCTTATAAATACGCATTTTACTGTAAGTATGTATTTTTTTTATAATTCTATTGTACATACTTGCACCACCTCGGTTTGCACATATATTGTACTTACCGCAACTTTGCATGTCATGGTTTCACAGAAAATATGCTGAGCTAGTTACACCTTCACCAAATGTCTCAGAGACAATAAGAAGGAATATTTGACAGTACATCACTGGAGTAGCACATAACAAAGCAGAATCATTGCAGCGTGGGAAAAAATCTACCACTGTGATGTATCCCATGTGTCTAGACCAGTGTTGAATGTATTTGTATGTGGGCTGCACCCACTGCGTAGCTGTCCCCCTCCAGCCACCATATTGAATTGATTTGAGCCCTGGCCCTGGTGATAGAGCAAAGTGAGCTGAATACTAAGCCTGATGAGACAATGGCTCTGTGTGCATCATGTCTCTGGGGTTGCATCTCTAAAGGCCATCCTCCATCCTTCATCTCCTCCTGCTTCACCAAAAACACTGCAAAAAGCTTTGACATCCAGCCTCGGATTTTCTTTTCCCATGCAATAAGAAACTAATGAAAAGCTTTTGAGAGTCAGTCTGAAACATATCAGTCAGAATTCAATAATATACTGTTGTTTTATACAAAGTTGCCAGGAATTTGACAAGAATAACACTCACAGCGCTGCTTTTCTAAGCCTTCATATGATGTCATAGCTGTATTAATGGAAAAGTGTTATTGATCGAATGTAAGTGGATAGGGTTGAGGGCTCTGTGTGGGCAGCCCCCTCATATAAACCACTGAGCAGAGTCCATTTGCTGAAGTGAAGAAAAGCTAACTCTAGTACCTAAATAGATTCAGCCACATTATCTGTGCCATGGTGACTATGAAATGTAATATTCAGTCTGAAATGTAGGAATGGACAAGGAAATTAAATTATTTGTTTCTTGGGCCAATATGCTTTGTCCATATTCATATTTAGATTTTCTGCACATAGAAACAAACAATTTTAATATAATTAATCACCAATATTAAGAAAAAGCAGTTACCAGGGCCTCACTCAGTTATAGATGTGGCACAAGCGCCACCTAGTGGATGCTCATTTGATTTTCTCCATAGACAGTATGTTTGCACTTTACTTACCTAGTATTGTCATTCTCTTTCACCACATTGTAATCTTATTATTGTTATTTCTGCCTACTCTTAGGGCTGCAAACAAGATTGTATTTTCTCAATTAATGATTTGTTCCATAAAACAACCAAGAACAGTTAAATATGCCCATGACAGTTAACATAAAAACCAAAGCGATGTCATCTAATGTCCTGTTTGTTCAACTGAATACTTTTACAATTACTACAATAATTTAAGACCAGGAAAAGAAGCAAATTCTTTCATTTTAGAACCTAGAACCAATTTTTGGCATTTCTTCTTCAAAATATCGCCATTTAAACGCTTAATCGATCATCACAATTGTTATTGTAGACCAGCAAATTGATTAATCGACTAATCACTGCAGCTCCACATTGATTGTATGTCTGCCCATCATCCTGGAAGAGAGATCCCTCCTTTGTTGCTCTTCAACTTTTTTTCCCCATTAAAAATATCAAATCTATGGATTTAAGGTGTTGTAAAGCCACATTTTCTTTTGTGAAATACAGCATTAATTAACTGATCAAACATCTACTTTGTTTCTTGAATGAAAATCTAAAGCGGTAGTTGGTTTGCTTAAAAACTGGATTAAGACTGTGCAAGTGAAGTAACCTACACAGTCAACGCCATGTGCAGTCTCTGAGCAGCAGGTGGCAGCAGAGCTCTGGCTGCTGTTACCCCTCAATATTGACCCACTTAATGTATTTCAGTGGGTCATCAGAGGGCCGGCTGAGCCAATATTCGGCTTTTGGGGTGGCATATGGCCCCACGGCCAGCAGAGGGCACCCTATAGACAGAGAGAGAGAGAGAAAGA